TCATCCCACTGATTATAATGGCCTCACATTTCATCCATGTGGTTAACACACTGCAGAAGTTCCTTTCTTTTTCAGGCTGAGCAATACTCCATGTATATACAGACCACATTTCCTTTATCTGTTCATCCATTAATGAACACTTGGGTTGCTTCCACTTCTTGGATATTCTGAAAAGTGCTGTTCTGAACAGGGGGGTACAAATGTCTCTTCGAGACCCTGTTTTCAATTCTTTTGAGTAGATACCCAGAAGTGAAATTGCTGGATCATATAGTGGTTCTATGCTTGGTCTTTTTAAAAACTGCCGTCCTGTTTTCCACAGTGGCTACACTATTTTACACTCCTACCAGCAGCGCACGAGATTTTCGATTTCTCTACATCCTCATCCATACTTGGTACTTTCTGCTTTTTCTTTCTTTCTGACAATAGCCATCCTAATGGGTGTGAGGTGGTATCCCGTTGTGGCTTTGATTTGCATTTCTCTAATGATTAGTGCCCTTCACTGTTTTCCACGCCAGTTTCTGGGTCTTTGGGTCAGTGAAAGAGCAGCAGCTCCAGGTGTCCTTCACCTGCAAATTCCCACCGTGCAGCACAGGCTGGGCTTGCGGTACGTGCTCCTTGTTCAGAAACTGAAGGAGAGGAACGAGTTTTCGGCTGAGAAAGGGGACGACCTCTTCTGGAGAGAGGCTCTCCCCACAGCGAAGGTATTCGAGGGGCGGCGGATGACCATGGCATGCAGTTATTATCACTCTGTCAGCCAGCCCCTCCTCATTCTGACCTGACTTCTGACTCTTTGGGTTGGAATAAAATCAGTCCTAGGTCATCATTCAGTGGCCATTTCCCAAGAGCCCCCTATGTGCTGAGCCCTGGGGGTGTGGGGGAAGAGAAGGAAAGTGAAGAATCTCAGGCGTGTGACGCAGGACACCCAGCCCTTTGTGCTGGCACAGCTTAGCACATGCAGAAGGACCGGCGGCCCCCGCTCAACCCACTGCCTACTCCTTGGCACAGAGCTGTGCCCAGGCAACCCCAGCCCCTCAGGCCTGCATGAGTCTGGGACCCTTCCAGTGGCCCCACAGCCTTCCCCAGTTGCCCTTGGCCTGGTCTTCTGCTCTGTTTGTCACAACCAGTCTACTCGCTAAGCAGGAGCCCACCCCAATCTCAGCTGGAGCTCAGGAATGCATGTGGAGCCCCGCCTCCCTGGGCAGCCAAGCTACTTCACTAGCCATGGACAGACCCAGTTCTTCTTCTTTGCTCACAGCTTTTGCTTCTCCAAGGTGGCCTCACAGACCCGGGCCCGCACTGAGGATTATCTGATTGGCTGGCTCCTCTGAGAAAAGAGAAGGCTGAAGTGCCCACAGCCCAGTGACTGGCCCGGCCTTTCCAGACCTGGGCCCAGCTCTGCTCACTCCCTACATTTACTCTGCTGACCCGTCTCTTCTCCCACAAACTCTCTACCTATGAGGGCTGTACAAAGGCTAGTGTACTAAAACTCTAGGTGAGGGACGTGGGATTCCCACCAAGGCAAGGTGAGCCTCACCTGCCATGCCCATAGCTCTGAATGCAAAGCTGCTCGCCAACATCCTTCTTGAAACAGTGAGACCCAGAAATGAAACATTAGCACTCCAGGCACTACACACCTCCCTAGCATTACAGATACTTCTGCCTCCTAAGATTTTTTTTTCTCAGCATAACACGCTAGGACTTCCGCATCCACCGACCATAAACTTTCCAACTCCAAAAGTGAACTTCCTCCTCTCAAATCACCTCTTGGCGGCTGAGAGTACTGCAAACCTCGACCCCATTATCCCTCCCCATCTAGTGAGCAGCAGCTGAGCAGTGAGCCTCCTGTGTACTCATCCAAGTTGCATATTTAGCGAACAAGTGAACAGGCCAAGCACAGAGGACTTACTGCCCTTCACGCTGCCGCTGCTCACTGCTCGCTGGGGTTGGCTGAACACATGGCCCCCTGAGCCATGTCTATCCATTTTGCCTGTAGCACATCACGAGCTTTCCCCCAGTGACTTCCCAAATCCAGATGATCAGGCTGACAGCATGTCTCTCACCAGCCATCTAGTTTCCCTGCTGGGAGAGGACCTGAGGTCAGTGGTGATTTTAAAGCATGTTCACAAGTTCTTCAACAGTCCTCCCGTCAAGAAGTCGGGTCTTCTTCTTCTCCCTTGAACATGGGCTGGCCCTAGGGACTCTCATGCAGAGGAAGGTGATGCTAAATGACTCATGAGGCCAAGTCTTAAAAGGCAATTCACTTCCCACCTGGCTCTCTTGGGACTTTGCTCTTGGAACTTAGCAGCCATGTTGTGAGGAAGCCCCGGCCACAGGGAGAGGCCACATGTAAGCCTTCCAGCTGACAGCCTGCATCAGCTACTAGCCATGTGAGTAAGCAAGCCTTTGAGAGGACTCCAGCCCCAGCCAACTTCTGACCACAGCTACTTACAAGACCCAAGCAAAAAATACCAAGCCGAGCCCCTAGGCTCCCCAACCCTCAGAGACAATAATACCAAATAACTGTGACATTGGGCGCCACTAAGCTTGGGGTGGTAGTTTCACAGATATAGATAACAGAACAGTTGTTATGGCAACATTTTCTTATAGACATTCCATTTTTTTCTCACTAAAATGAAAAGTTTTCAAATAGGCCATTCTAGAATTAGGAAGAGTCCTGCTGGTTTATAGTTTCACAAATCTGCCCCTTTCCACTTGCAAAACCTAACCTAGCTGTGCTGTGTATGTGTGTGTGTTTATGCATACACAGTTTCCTGATTCTCCACTATTCCTCAAAAATTATTGAAAACTGTGATAAACATACCATTAAGTCCTTTCAGACCCCTTGGATATAACAAATCAGGAGCCCAGAACTCATTTTAGTTATAATAACAATAACATTAACAATTGCAATTTGTAACCTCTCAGTAAATGTTAGTGATGTGCCAGCATTTTGCGCGAATTAAGACAGGCGAAAACTGTGCTTACTCCTGCTGAGGCACACACAGGGCGAGAGGTTTGCCACGTTCACAGAGCTACTGAAGGCGGCTGGACACCTCCTCCTGCCGTCTTGCCCGTGTTAGGCATAGGCCGCCCTTTCCCGTTCAGGTCGTCCTCCTTTTGAGGACAGCAGAAGCCAAATAAGAGTTGTGTCCTTTTGTAACTAGTTTTTAGCAATCCCCACTCCCTGTCTACCATATCCCCAAGTGGTGGACTGGGCTTCTGAATGTCTCTGAAAATGCCCTCACTTATTGTCTTTGGCCTCAGTTCATCTACACTTTGGCCTCAGTTCATCTACACTCAGTTCATCTACAGTTCATCTACACTTCCCCAGTGGGAAGGCCCCTGACCCTTTCAGTTGGTGTATTTCGTACTTAAGCCTGAGCAACCCCACTGCTTCTGTCTTCCTTTTTTTCTAGAATTATCAGTCAAAGACCCCCATGCCCTTCCTCTGCAATTCTCATGCCTCGGTGGCTTTTCTCTCAGCAGCACCTGTCGGCTTCTGCCCTCCCCAATGTCCATAGACTCCTCTGGGCCCTGTCTTCTCCACCAAGCATTCCGGGATGCCCGGGTCATGGTGTAACCTCCACAGTTTCTCTGGAGTGGATTTCCTCCAAACCTCTTTTGGGTCAGGCAGACATTCTGACAAGCCCGGAACTCAGCACCCAAGGGAGAGATTGGCGTCAGGACTCCTAGAAAGCTGAGGGGCCTGGTGGGAGTGGGGTGTCCCTCAGTGCAGTGGGGGTGCAATCATAGATGGGCCCAGGTCTGCAAGCAGCTTTAGAAAGTACTTTGGTAAACATACTTTCATAAGTTCCTCATGAACAACCCTGTGAGATAGGCATTATTACCCTCATTTTAAAGCATTTCAGCCCTGGCTGGTGTAGCTCAGTGGACTGACTGAGCACAGGCCTGCGAACCAGAGAGGTTACCGGTTCGATTCCCAGTCAGGGCACATGCCTGCGTTGCAGGCCAGGTCCCCAGTGGGGGTATGTGAGAGGCAACCACACACTGATATTTTTCTCCATCCCTTCTCTTCTCTCTAAAAATAAATAAATAAAAATAAAGCATTTCACACATGTTGACTTACCTAATTCCCACAACTTGAGACAGGTAAAGACTATGCTTACTCTTGCTTTAGAGTAAAGGTGAGGAAAGCAGGATTAGGAAGCCAAATGGATTAGCCCCTGGTCACCCGGCGAGTAAAGAGCAGGGCAGGGGCTCCAGCCTTGTCTTGGGACCCCTGACCCAGGCAGTTTTCTGCTATACCCTATGGCCCAGGCCTTCTAGAATCTGCCCCTTTCTCTCAGTACAGCCTTCCACAACATGAGGACCGCTAGGGTCCTCCCCGGACCAGGCTGTGTGCTGCCTGAGCCGAGACGCCTCCCTTCGCTCATCTTGCCCAAGCTGGGCCCAGGTGGTGCTCACTAACGGGCATCACCTGATTGAAAAGCAAGGCCTCAGAGGCCAAGAGTCAGACTTAAGCCAGGCCACACCACTTCCCTTACAAGGACCTGAGGTCACTCCATGAACGGCCCTTGTCTCTGTGGCCCTGCTGGTAAACAAAGTAGAAGCAGTAGTTCGATCACACCATCATAAGATGGGATGGGGTCGGGTGCAATGGGACAAGAGGAGGGAGTGCCACTGGGGCCCCTGCTCAACACCTGCCTCCGTTGTTTGCCCTGTAGAAACCTGCACTGGGCAAATGGTCTGTGCCCCTCCTTCTCCAAGGGGGCCTCTTCCCAAACTTGCATCCTGAACAAACCAACAGCACGGTCTCACTCACCCCTCACGGCCTGCTCTCATTCCCACCCTGCCCACCTGCAAAGTCCGCCCGCACCAGCTTCCACTGTGGACTGCAGGTGAAGACCATGGTCCCCGTCCCTGCTCCCTGCTCACCTCACTCCTCTTTGGCTCCCCAGTGCCCCTTCCATAGTGCCGACTTCTCCCTCCTCTCCATCCACCCTTCCCCCATCCTTCCTCAGTCTGTTTTCCCGGTTTACCTAAATTTGTAGTTCTCTGGCAGGAAGTAACCCATCCTGCAGTCCTGTTGAGCCTGAAAGATCTGTTTCAGTAGATTCTGCTTGCTGAAGCCATATCCATTCAAAACTCTGCCCCCAAAAAGGAGCTTCCCCGAAGCGAACATCTGCTGACAGAGAAGAAGCAGAGGGGAGAGGCCTCAGCACGTCAGCACTGAATCTCAGGAGAGTGGCCCGGGCTCTCAGAGCTTGTGCCAGAATCCAGGCCTTTTTCTGGTGGCTGGGAAGGGGGGTTGCTCTCCCCAAGTCACCCAGTGAGGTGTGGCTAAGCTCGTCCTCTATGTAGGACCCCCCAAGTCAGAGGCCAGCGCCATCATCCCAGCCTCTGCCCACTGCCAGAGGGACCAGCTCACATGTCACTTCATACACGAGACCTCCCAGAACTCTGGGGCCAGAAGGGTGTCTTCCTGCTCTGAGGCAGCGAGTCTCAAACCCACTCCCATACACGGACCAGCTGGTCCCGTGGGACGACAGCCCCCTGAGGGCAGGGGTCTTGTGCTCCCGCCCTCCACCTGTCAGTCTCCAACAAGTAGAGACCTGTCCAAAGATTTTTGTGCAAGAATATTCTTCAGTGTTATTTGCCATGACAAAAAAAAAAAAAAAAAAAGGAAATAATCTACAAAGGCCCCGCAAAGGCAAGACAGGAGAAAAACTAAAATGACAGATCGTTTCTAACACAGTGTTGGAAAGAATCAGGTGTTACAAACTATTTTAAGGGGGAATGCTCATAGCATTTTAATTTAAAGAGCAGGACCCCCAGATCAGAGAAAGACTGCAAAGGCCAGACACCAAAATATCACGTAGGGCGTGAATATCCCCTTGGGCGTGGCCAAGGCCTCCTGTAGCACCGACCGATCCGGTGCAGGCACACACTTGTGTGTAACAAATGAGGCAACCTAGGTGACATGATGAAGTGATTATATCCCAAATTGTATTTTCCAAGTTTTCCACAATGAATATACAGGGTGGAGCAAAAGTAGGTTTACAGTTGTGTGTATGAGAAACAGAGTTTATTCTTGTATTATTAGTATATTATTTTTTATGAACTGTAAACCCATTTTTGCCCACCCTATATATATATATTTACAATCCAATGTTTCTAGAAAAAGTAAAAAGTTATTTAAAATAAACAAAGACATGGAGAGAATTTGGCTTTCTGGTCAAGCGTCCCTTCAGTCTCTCTGGACAGGGGGCACAAGGGATCAGGCTGGAGACAGGAGGCCAGGCTGGGAGAGAATCCTGCAGGCCCCCATCCTCCCCACCCCCACATCTGTGACTCCACGAGGGTAGGGACCACGGAGACTGGGTGGCTGCTAATTGGTGGTGAGTCCCCGGCTGGGCTCCGGCTCACCAAAACCATCCCCTGCACCACAGCATACTTCATCACCAGCAGGGGCGGGTCCTTCTGCAGGGGGCTGTCCAGGTTGTACCGCAGTAGGCGGTAGGGGTCGCGCCGGCACTGCCAAGAGAATGAGCGTCCATCAGCCCCGTGCCAAGAGGATGCACGCACATTCCCGAATTCTCAGCCAGGCCAGGCTCCCACTGAGTCTGGGAGCCCCTTACAACACCCCCTCCCTTTCAGCTCCTACTCAAAGGGGCTGTTTGGCCCCTGCATGCACACTTCCTGTGGCCATCCCCGAGAATATCCCCAGATTCATTTAGGGCCCTCTATCGGTGAAAGCTGTCACTGAGATGATTGCCCACCATGTGATATCCACTGGCAGCCTGGCCCTCTGGAGCCTGTGGGACCTTCCTGTTCCCTCTGCCTGAGAGGAACTGTGGAGATTTGAAGGTGGGAACTGTGTTCTTGGGTGTACCCATTTCCAGGAGTTTCTGCCCCCATCCCACCGCTGGCTGCCCTTCTGGATACCTCCCTGTCATTAAATCCATTCAGTTTCACTGAGTTCAACCCAAATCTCAAGGCAGAGCCTGATCAATCCAGAGTAAAGCTGATCTCTCCCTCCTGTTTGTTTCCGGATGCTATGGATCCATTAACACAGCCAATGTGATACTTTCTGGTTTTATGTAGCTTTTATTTCAGGTGCCTCCAGTTGTTCTGCATAATCTTTCAGTTTAAAATGTGAAACCCAGAGCCACACCTGGTGCTCTAGCTATCAGAGCAAGAGCACCTCAGGGAACGGTCCTGTCTTAAGGCACTGAATGCTGGAACCAGAGTCGGTGTAAGACACCAGCCTCCAGGTCTGCTCTCTGCTGTCCATCTACCACAACCTTCGGCCGCCTCAGGCCAGGCCCTGTCCCCGTTCAGGCTGCTCGTAGGCTGGGCTGCACCACCATGCATTCCTGCGTTTATGGGTAATTATTAGTGAACAAGTAACAGCCCTGAAATAGACTAAAGTCAACTCGAAGTTTAAGACATACGTATCTTTGATGTATGAAACTACAAAATGCCTTCTGAAAGGTCCCAACACTAGATTCCTGGCACTGGCTGGAGTGCAGGTCTGAGGTGGATATGTCAGAGTCAGGAAGGTGACACTCCGGGAGGAGGGCTTGAGAGGGTGTCCCCAGGGTGAATTCAGGGCTGCAGCCAAAGGAAGATAGGGAGAAGACAGTAGGTTTGAGAGGGCACCACAATAAAGAGGTTTGAAGGAAGTCGCCAAGTGGACCCAAAGCTCTTATGCTCACAAGGCATCTGTTCCAGTCGGTCCAGGGACAGGGCCACCCCTGAACTGTGCTAAGACTGCAGGAATGGCTGCTGACACAGACGATGATGAGATTTAGAAACAACTCAGTAGCAAGGAGTTTCCATGTGCCCCTGACTGATTGACATGTAATGAACTGGGACCTCGAGCAGCCTTTCCCCTGGTCACTTTGGCACAGGCCTGTGCCAGAAACACTCGCCCACCTGCCAAACCCCTTTCATCCTGGGGGCCTCCCCCAGGCCCCTGAGGGGTGTTCCTCTGCTCCCCAGTTCCTACCTGCCTGGAGCTGTCCTTCCTTGGCCCTCACTGGGCTTGCTGTACTTACCGCCCCATCATGTTGGGAGCCCCTCTAGGGCTGTGTCAAAATCAACAGTGGAGCACAGAGCCCTGCACAGGACCCATGCAGCAGAGGGCCACCGTCTACGCACATTCCTTAGCCCTGAGGATCTAGCGGGGAGTGTGGTTCTGCTACAAATACCCAGGACATGACCACAAACTGTGGTGAGTGCTCAGGGAAAAACAACAGGGGTCTGCCTTTGTCTCCAGGTCAGAAAAGGTACCCACCTTGATGTGGTGACATCCATCCCGGGCCAGGAGGATGAGTGGGAGAAAACACTGCAAACAGTAGGAAGAGGGAGTGCAAAGGCCCCAGGGAGAAAAGGAAGTGAAAGAGGGCCATGTGCTGAGGTGGAGAGGCAACCCCTCAGCCAGGTGCTCAGCTAGACCTCATCCTCCCTGCAGGTCTTCCCCCTCCAACCACCCCACTCTCAGACACTGGGGCCCCCTCTGTTGGGCCCAGGACCCACCTGGATGCAGGGTGAGGAGCGGCCCTGCTGCTGGCGACTGTAGAGTGTGTTGAGCAGCCACTGGAGCTGTCCTGTGCTGGTGGATCTCTGGCTCGACACTATCCCGAACACTAGCACCTGGCTGGGGTCCCGGGGTGCTGACAGGAAGCGTTCTAGCTCCACGTCAGTTACCAGGGGTGCCTTCACTATGCACTTGCAGCCAGCGCGGATCTCTTCCTTACAGATGAGTTTCCTCAGCACCAAAGGGCAGTCAGATGGTGAGGCTGCCCACCTGGTGGGGCTGCACACCTCCCGGGCCTTCCCTCTGCAAGAAGGAGCGAGTGGGCAGGGCTCAGCAGGCCCAGCTTCCACAAGGACAGAGGCCCCGTTACTGTGGAGTCTAGGCTGCAGGCAGTTCTAGCCTGGCCTCCACCACCAACAGGCAGCACCACCTTCACTGAGTCCCCTAACCTCTCTGGGCCTCCATTTCCTTAGGTGCAAAATGCAATGAACAAGTGACATTCATTTATCCGTCCAAAAAAAGCTTTGTAGTCATCCTGAACAACTTTCTTTCTCTCACATCCCATATCCTATCCAACATAGCAAGCCTGTTTGCTCTCCATTCAAGAAAGATGCAGAGTCAATCACTGTTCGTCCTCCCACTTCTATTAACATGGCCCAAGACCCCATCATTTCTTGCCTGCACGCCTGCAAGTGCCTCCTAATGGGTCGTTTGCTTTCTCCCCTGGCCCCTCTTCAGATTATTCTTTGCCCAGCAGACTGAGGGATCCTGTTAAAATCATCATGTCATTACACTCTTTGAAATCCCCCAGTGGCTTTCCACCTTTCACAGCATAAAAGCCAAGGTCCCTACAATTCTCTGTCAGTATACAGGATCAGCCCTTCCTCATTCCTCTTATTCTCCAACATTTTCACCTTCGCTTACTGAACTCTGGCCACTCTGGCCTCTGCTTACCCTCCACCTGCAGGGTGTTGGCTCTCGCCATTCCTTCCGCCTGCTTGGCTCTTCCTCCAAGTAGCCACACAACTCACTTTCTCACCTTCTTCAAGTCTCTGTGCAAATGTCACCTTCTCAGTGAGACTTTCTTCGACTGCCCTGTTCAGAATTGTATCCCTTTACCCCCAACACTCTTACCAATTCCCTGCCTCATTTTCTTCCTTAACATTGCTCACTGTCTGACATATTATATATTTTACTTATTAATTTTGGTAATTGTACTTCTCTATCCTAATAGAACATAAATTCTATGAGTTCATGAGTTTGGAGTACTTTGCTCAGTGGAATAAATAGTAGCCCTTGGCAAATACTAAATATTCAATAGAGGGCCAATAAATATCCAAACAATTACTATGAGGCACCTACTATGTGCCAGACACTGTGCAGGGTTGATGCAGGGTTGTGAGGGTTGCTGTATTTAGATGGGAATAAGCACCTACCAAATATAAAGTATTGCTCTGATTTTTATTCTTATCATTTCTTTTTATAAAAAGATTTTATTTATTTTTAGACAGAAGGGGAGGGAGGGATAAAGAAAGAAAGGGAGAGAAACACCAATGTGTGGTTGCCTCTCATGAGCCCCTACCAGGGACATGGCCCACAACCCAGGCATGCACCCTGACCTGGAATTGAACCAGAAACCTTTTGGTCTGTAGGCTGGCACCCAATGCACTGAGCCACCCCAGCCAGGGCTATTCCTATCATTTCTATAGCCTTACATTGTGGTTAGCACTTCACAGCACCCAAAACTCTTGGCATAGACACTGTCATGGTTGGTTTTGTAATAACTTGTGCAATAGGCTATAAAGAAACTAGTATCACTGTTTACAAATCAGGAAACAGAAGGCTCAGACTGGGTTAATGAACTGCCTAAATTCATATGGTAATTAAATGGCAAGGGCCAGGATTAGAAACCAGGTCATCCTAAAACAAAAGCAATGCAAGGAACTTACTACTCAGAATTTTCTCTCTCTCTCTTTTTATTGCTGTTCAAGTACAGTTGTCTCCAGTCCCCCCCACCACTCCTGGAACCCCTGCCATCCCCACCTCCTGCCCTTGATCCTACCCACCTTTGGCTTTGTCCAGGTGTCCTTTATACATGTGTCTTGACAACCCTTTCCCCCCATTATCCTCTCCCACCTCCCCTCTGGTTACTGTCAGTCTGTTCTTAGCAAGTAAAATATAACGAGAGACTACTCAGAATTTTTCACAGGCATACTAGTGAGTGAATACGTGCTAAACAAACTTAAAAAATATCTCTCATTCAAGAGCCTGAACATCTGGGAAGGAAAGGATTAAATCTATTAACCACAACTTGTATAGCAAGATAAACCCAAAATGAATTAAGGTTTTTAATGCGAAAAAATCAAGCCATAACAGTTCTAGTAGAAAATACGGGAGAATCATTTTGTAATTTTAGAGCAGAAAAGGCCTTTTATAATTATGACCCAAAAGTTCAGAAGTCATAATAGAAAAATATTGATAAATTCAATTACACAAAGGAAAAAACAACCCCTCCTCCCCAAAACCCTGAATGGTAAAACCATACAAGCAAAGACAAAACGCAAAATGGAAAACATATATGAAACTTCTATCACAGACAAGTAGTTAGATTACCTGCTACATAATGAGCTATAAATAAATTTGAAAATGTTAACAACCCAATAAAATATAGACAAAGGAAGTAAACACACAATTTATAAAAAATTATATAGAAATGATTTTTGTAATATATTTTATTGATTATGCTATTACAGTTGTCCCATTTCCCCCCTTCATTCCCCTCCACCTTGCACACCCCTCCCACCAACATCCTCCCCTTTAGTTCATGTCCATGTGTCATAAGTTCTTTAGCTTCTACATTTCCCATACTATTCTTGCCCTCCCCCTGTCTATTTTCCACCTACTGTCTATGCTACTTATTCTCTGTACCTTTTCCCTCTCTCTCCTCCTCCCACTCCCTTGTTGCTAACCTTCCATGTGATCTCAATTTCTGTGGTTCTGTTCCTGTTCTAGTTGCTTGCTTAGTTTGCTTTTGTTTTAGGTGCAGTTGTTAATAACTGTGAGTTTGCTGTCTTTTTACTGTTCATATTTTTTATCTTCTCTTTCTTAGATAAGTCCCTTTAACATTTCATATAATAAAGGCTTAATGATGATGAACTCTCTGAACTTGACCTTATCTGGGAAGCGCTTTATCTGCCCTTCCATTCTAAATGAAAGCTTTGCTGGATAGAGCAATCTTGGATGTAGGTCCTTGCCTTTCATGACTTGGAATACTTCTTTCCAGCCCCTTCTTGCCTGCAAGGTCTCTTTTGAGAAATCAGCTGACAGACTGATGGGAACCCCTTTGTAGGTGACTGTCCCCTTATCTCTTGCTGCTTCTAGGATTCTCTCCTTCATTTTAATCTTGGCTAATGTAATTACGATGTGTCTTGGTGTGCACTTCCTTGGGTCCAACTTCTTTTTTTTTAAATTTATTTATTTATCTTTAGAGGGGAAGGGAAAGAGAAAGGGAGAGAAACATCAATGTATGGTTGTCCTTTGTGCATCCCTTGCTGGGAACTGGCCTGCAGGGAACCGGCCTGCAACCCAGGCATGTGCCCTGACTGGGAATTGAACTGCAATTGTCTGGTTCACAGGCCCGAGCTCAATCCACTGAGCTACACCAGCCAGGGTGGGTCCAACTTCTTTAGGACTCTCTAAGCTTCCTGGATTCCTGGAAGGCTATTGCCTTTGCCAGACTGGGGGAGTTCTCATTTATTATTTGTTCAAATAAGTTTTCCACTTGTTGCTCTTCCTCTTCCCCTTATGGTACCCCTATAATTTTGATGTTGGAACATTTAAAGATGTCCTGGAGGTTCCTTAGCCTCTCCTCATTTTTTTGAATTGTTTCTTCATTCTTTTCTGTTTGGTTGTTTCTTTTTTCCTTCGGGTCCATGCCATTGATTTGAGTCCCAGTTTTCTTCCAATCACTTACTGGTTCCTTGTACATTTTCCTTCATTTCACTTAGTGCGGCCTTCATTTTTTCATCTAATTTGCGACCAAAGTCAACCAATTCTGTGAGCATCCTGATCACGAGTGCTTTGAACTGTGCATCTGATAGGTTGGGTATCTTTTGGTCACTTAGTTGTATTGGCTCTGGGGCTTTGATCTGTTCATCCGTTTGAGACTTTTTTTTTGGGGGGGGGGTCTGGTGGCACCTGTTACCCTGAGGGGTGGAGCCTTAGGTGTTTATCAGGGCAGGACAACCCACATTGCTGGGTTGTGACACTGTATGTGGGGGCAGGATCAGAGAGGGAACAATGGTGCTTGCTCCACTCTTGGATTTTGACCCCCTCTGCCCCTTCCCACAAGTAAATTGGGCCCTTCTGGTGCTGGTTCCTGGGTGGGTAGGCTTGTGTACATTCTAGGACCCTATGGGTCTCTCCAACGAACTCTCCTATTCCCTGGGAGCCTCTCCCGGCACCTCAACCCCCATAAGTGTTTTTAATCAGTGCTTTTAGGCTTTGTTTCCCAGCACTGGGGCCCTGGGTTGCACGTTCTGTCTTGCTGCCCGTTTTTGTCTGATTTACCTGTGCATGAATGTGTGACCGTGGTCAGCCAGCCACTTTGCATGCCTCACTGGGTCTGCTCATTGGCATCCTGCACCCAGAGTCTGCCAACCGCCGCCTGCACACCTGGGTCAGCCAGCCACTGCTTTTTCCTGTCTCCACCCCCTCTACTGGCTGCTAACTCCACTCCTCTTACCGATCTGGATGAATGGTTGACAGACTTCTGTACAGTTCAATTTTCTGTCATTTTGGGGTTTTTTTGTTTCTAAATTTTTGGTGTCCTTAATTTTGGTTATGCGAGGAGGCACAGTGTGTCTACCTATGCCTCCACCTTGGCCAGAAGTCCCCAAATCAGAAATTATTTTTAATATAAAAGAATATAAGGGTAAATTTGCCAAAAATGGTAGAGTAGATAACTCCAAAACTATGTCCCTTTACTAAACAAACAAATAATCTGGCAAAAAAATCAGAATCAATTTACAGCACTCTGGAAACTAATGAAAAAGCTTATAACAATCAAGAAATGCTTAGTGAAGAGAGAAACTGCTAAATTTTGATGAGAGTATTGCGATATTTTAACTTACCCACCTACTATCTCCAACTCTCTAGCTTGGTGGCATCTGTGGGGATGGCAGCCCATGTTCCTGGTGTGGCTTGCTGGTGCCAAAGAGGGTAATATGGATATTGTTCTCAAGGAATTGTGGTTGTATAATTTGACATGTCTGGAGGTTCCCTGAAGGATTGGCTAAGGGGCC